GCAGGCCTTGCAGCTCCTAATATTTGAGGCTGCCACCCACCAGGCCTTGCATCTCATCCATCCTTCTAACTCTGTTAAAATAGAATGGATTAATCAGGATTGGCTATACATCTCTGGCAAAAGGGTCCAGAAGGTCCCATTAGACCTATCAGCTGCTAGTCAGCACAGTATCATGTAAACAGAGCCAAGGTAAAACAAACCCAAACCCTTGCCAGGCACACCAAGCTCTGAGCCAGGTACTAATCCATTGGCCCATTATATTGAGTCCCTCATTATTCCCTATAGCTGGAGGGATAGAGGAGAACACATCTTGTGCTCCTGAACCCTTTACCTGTCTCCCCAAGGCTCTGAGATCCTTTTTCAGAGTCCTTAGGGAAGGTCTGCCTAAATCATCACTACCAACCTGAAACAACAGCAAGGGATAGTAATCAGTGGGCCAGACTAGGAAGGAGGTTTCTTCCTCACATCCTTAACCCAGGCTCCCAGGAGGCAGCAGACCTCCCTGTGTAGAGGGTTTGGTCTTCATATTGGCCCTTCTGCTCCCTTCAGCTGAGAGTCACCAATAACAATGACCCATCATTTTTTCCTAGTCGATGAAGTTTTAATGCTAGGCAAAGACATGGGGAGCACCACCAACTGGGGAGAACCATCATCACCACCACTGTCCAGTTGTCCCTGCAGAGCACTGTACCTGTTTTGCAGGGGCAGCTGGGGGGGCTGGGGACTCACCGGGATGGCATGCCTGCGTCGCCGAGCAGGGGCCTTATGCCACTGCCTACATCCCGCAGTTCTTTGCCATTGTTTCTGGGGGAGTGGAGAGAATAGTGGGTTCACTGCAGCAAGAACACTGTCTGCATGTAGGTTCCCCTCTGGCACCTGTTTGCAAGGCGGCAGGGGGTGACTTACTCCGTGCAGAGCCTCATCTGGTTGCTGAGATCTAGGGGCTGGTAGGTTTTGGTACCAGCAATCCATCTCCCTCTCACATTCCTTAATGCTCCTCAGCCTCTCCACCTCATCCTTCAGGTCGGCCACATGCTGAGTGCATGAAGCTGAGGTTGCTCTTAGGGCTGAAAAGCACTTTCTTGCTCATGACCTTTTCCTCTGTGACTCTTTGACACAAACAGCTGTTTCCATCTCTCTCCTCTCCTCTCCTCTCCTCTCCTCTCCTCTCCTCTCCTCTCCTCTCCTCTCCTCTCCTCTCCTCTCCTCTCCTCTCCTCTTCAACATTCATAAAAATCCCATTAGTGCTTTTTATTAGTGCATAAATGATGATAAATAAAATGGTAAAATAATGATTAAAAGCTTTGAGAAACACATGCCATAAAATGCACAGGAACAATAAACTCCTAAACAACAGTAACAACCAAAAACCCATTATCTCCTCAAGCACTGATATTATCCTAAACAACTTAAAAGTAGTAGTAACAACATACTCAAGAAAGCCGAAATCACACTTAGGTGAATTAGGCATTAATACCACCTTCTTGCACAGGATGCAAGCATATAACAGTCCCTCAAAATCTCAGTCTCTGAAACAATTTTCTTGGAAACTGACAGAAAGTTAAAATGGCACATGTGGAATCACCTAACTGCATGTTGGCATCAAAAAAGCATGACCAGCACATTGAGGGAGGTGATCCTCCCCCTCTACTCTGCACTGGTGAGGCCACATTTACACTACTGTGTCCAGTTCTGGGCACCTCAATTAAGCTAAGTTAAAAGACAGGGACTTCCTAGAAAGAGTCCAGCAGAGGACGACCACAAGGATGATTGGGGGCTTCCCATATGAGGAAAGGCTGAGTAACTGCACTCTGTTCAGCCTGGGGAAAAGGACACTGAGAAGGGATCTGGTAAATATTTATAAATATCTAAAGGAAAATGGGAGGCAAATGGGTGAAGTCAGGCTCTTCTTGATGTTTAGCAATAGCACAAGGAGTAATGGCCTAAAACTTGTACATAGGACATTTTGTACTAACATGCAGAAGAACTTCTTTATGGTAAGGGTGATGGAGCACTGGAGCAGGTTGCCCGGAGATGCTGTGGGGTCTCCTTCTCTGGAGACATTACTCAAAACCTGCCTGAATGCATTCCTGAGTGACCTAATCTAGGAGTTCTGCTAAGGCAGGGGATTGGACTAGATGAGCTTCCCAGCTTCCTTCCAATCCCTGTCATTCGGTGATTCTGTGATTCTGTAATTTGTATGGAGAAGAGATAGCAGCAATCAATAGGAAGAGTGGTACAAAAATTACACTTTTCACATCTCAGCCAGGATTCTGGCATTTATTTATTTTTAATAAACGATACAATTTTCTCTCCTCTCCTCTTCTCCTTTCATCTCCTTCCCTTTTTCCTCTCCTCTTATTTTAAATTTCTCTTTTTCATTCCCTTTTTCCTTCCCTCCCCTTTTCCTCCTCATTCCCTCTCCTTTCCCTTTTCCCTCCTCTCCTCTTCCTTCTCCTCCCCTTCTCTCCTTTCATCTCCTTTCTCTTCTCTTCTCTTCTCTTCTCTTCTCTTCTCTTCTCTTCTCTTCTCTTCTCTTCTCTTCTC